TTTGCGCGAAATTCAAACCTTTACTGCACCTCAGTTTTTCAGCGATAAGTCTGAAGGCTAATAACCTGGTTTCGATACCTGTTGTGGACACAATATAAATAACCAATTTAAGCTTATCTACAAATAAAAAACAAAACATTTACTGCATGGTGGTTAGTTACATTTTGCCACCCTAGGTAAAGCAAAATTAAGTAACAATTTATAAGTGTGTGTGAGTTGAATGAGACGCAAGACAGTTATTTTCTAAATCCACTGGTTAACTTAAGATCAAAATAGTTCCCCTCCTTAAACAAATAAATCACTCTCTATATAAGATAAAGTTGTTGGAATGAACAATTTGCCTGGTGAACGTTTTGACTTTCAACTGTACGCCACCTGTTGTGTCTTCCAAACAACACTTATCATATACTTCATATCAACTAATGTGAATTGTTAATTTTATTTTATATCGACTCCAGTTGATAGTACTTCCTGTAATGTGTGTGTGTGTGTGTGTGAAATAAACACATTAAAGCGTTTACTGAATGGTAATAAATTCCATCACTCGTGCTAAAAAGAAAAATGGTTCGAACTTACCTGATACAACAATATAATAAAATATAACACCTACATTTCCTCTCATTCTTAATAAATTGGTAGTTACTTTACTGTCTTAAGTACAATAAAGAAATATACACCAATTATAAAAATTGAGTGTTTCACAACCTTTAATTTAAATTATCCTTAAAACTAACAATTCAGAGAGTCTTCGGTTATCACTCAAGATAACACTCTAATGCTATTGACGTTCCAAAACCAACACATGCTTGAGAACATTTTTTATTTCTTGTAAACAATATCGGTTACATTAGTACGTAAGGACGACCCTAAACTAATTGTTATTTAGTGTGAACAATATATCTTACTTACGAAATACGAACCTAAACTGATCATGTTATTATTCTTGTAAACAATATCGGTTACATTAGTACGTAAGGACGACCCTAAACTAATCTTATTGTTATTTAGTGTGAACAATATCTCTTACTTACGAAATACGAACCTAAACTGATCATGTTATTATTCATGTAAACAATACCAATCACTGTATTGAATAAAGACGACCCTAAACTAGTCTTATTATTATCTAGTGTAAATAATATCAATTATTTTGTTACAAACTAAGACAGCCCTAAACTGGTCATATTATTATTTAATGAAACAACATGAATTATTTTGTTACAAACTAAGACAGCTCTAAACTGCTCATGTTATTATTTCGTGTATACAGTATTAGTTATTTTGTTACATAAAGACGACTCATAAGTTGTCTTATTATTATTTATTGTAAACGACAATGGCTATTTAATCACACAAATATGGTTTTTAACCATTCACGCTATATTGTCATATCCACAGTATCAATCATTTTCACACACAAAGTGATGCTATAATCAGTCAGGTCATGATTTCGTGTTAGAAGTCATTAGTTACCTCTATACAAGAAATATATTAAATCAATAGTGTTGAAATTTGATAATTCTTTAAGAAAAACGTTTCTCCAGGACTATTAACATTATGATTTTATGCATCCATCACCTACTTTTTTCCACAGTTGATTCTAAAATCATCCACATTATCATTTCAACGCCAAAAAACCTCGTTTATCTCGTTTCACAAAGTTGTTCTTAAACCATTCAAGGCACGAAATGGTTTCACGAAAACACTGTCTATCATCTCGTTACGCAGAACTTCCGAAAAAAGGGGGCTATCTGAGCATAACCGACACTGATTCTTTTATTGATAGACTGAAAGGAAGGCAGCTAGTCAATATCACCCCCCGGCTAAATCCTTGGCTACACTAGACAGATCCAATAGTGCACCAAAGCGTAGAGGCACTTATGAGGCAACGGGTCGCGAACCATGCATCTTGTGATTCACAGTAACCCAAGATTTGCGTCATTAATGATTAGCATAAATATTACTAGATCCCTGAAGTCACTTCTCAGTACAATAACGCTTTCAGCAACAGGCTGATAATTCGTCTTTAGTGATATTCTAGTCATCCGTATTACCTAAAGAAATCGTTAAAAAGTCCACTGGTGTAACGAACAAACTGAAACTATAGCTATGCGCGAAACTGTGAAACAAACAAAGACATTTTGTATACAAAAGTGGGAGACGAAACGAGAACGACCAGAATTCTGTAATTATTCAGTCAGTTAAATCATTTTCTCTTTAAATTAAATAATAAAAAAAAGATAATTATTCAAGTAAAAGCCATTATTTCTCTATGAAAAGCTAGAGGAAAATCAAAGGACTAAAATTATGCCTCTAGAGTTACTTGTTTCAGAACATTTTGCAAAGCTTCACAAGGACTGTCTGCCGTCCTTCTTTTGAAGTGGTAAGCTGACAGGGAGGCAGCCAGTCTACAGCGCCACCTTCAATTCTGGGACTACTCTTACCTGATCTAATGGTGGGATTTATTCGTCACTCTGGCATCAAACTAAGTGAGGAGTGCCTTTTTATGGCAACGGGATGGGAGCCATAAATCCTCTGTTTCACATTCTGAGCACACTGAACACTATACCACCCCTGACCCGCACCCATGTAGAGTTAATAAATTAAAACCAAGTTGCAAGATTAAAGAAAATACTTTGATTATATATACATATATATATATATATATGATTGAAGAAAAAGCTTTCACATATAAATATTTCTTTAAAACTACTTTCATTAAAAATATCAGAACGATAAGAGGGTTCCTCTCATGACTTGAATTGTCTCACAAGAAAACGTTTTTAAAGTTGGCTTATCAGTCGTGATATCATAAGATTAAAGTAAAAACTGGACAACCTGAATCATCCGTTTCGAAATCATTCAAATATATCATCTCTTCCCCGAACAACATTTCCCTAAAACGTAATGTATTTGTATACGAATGTGAGTGGGTGTGTTAAACTTTGAGTTTTGAGGCCTAAGCTTTTTTCAATTTCTATTGACATGTTTTTGTTATCATTAAACTGTTATTTCGTCCTTCTCCTTAAGCATTAACATTCAGATTTACACACAAAAAAAAACTAATCAAATCAATGTTTATTTGTGCTCAACCATCAACATCTAGTCCACGATAATTTTATATATACCACCCTTGTTCAACTTTATCTCACTATATATTATTTTACAATATTCATTCACATCAGAATCTTAATACTTCTAATTTAACGGGTTCTTCCTCAGTTTAATTTATTAAGCTATTTCATTTTGGTATGTCTTTTCGTTCCAGTTACTATAATCTGATTGTTTAAATAAATATAACTATCTATTTTTATCACTCGGCTGTTATTACTTTTATTACTGTTATTTTTCTCTTGTATGTTGTTTTCTGTTAGATTGTATCGTTTCTTAACACTGAAGCAGACAGATTCCGTTTTTAGTTTTGTCTTTACGTGTGGTACTTTTAGATGCGATGTTTTATTAGAAGCTGCATTTCCGTACGATTCCGTAGGTTTATTAATATATATTTCCTTAGAAATTATCAACTAATAGTTGTAAGTATGTAAACATATTTAGTTAATTAATGTACACTTTCTTGTTAGTATTGGGAAATTAAATTGATCTTCTTAATGATTGTTGACTCAATTTCATTTCTGTCTGCAAACAGTAGTCATGTTAATTACAAATCTTTATAAAGTCAAAAAATCTTGAAAATCTTATGATGTCAATAAGAAGTATTAAATAATAATATAATGTAAGTTTATATTATCTTTCAAATGACTGAAGTTTGCGAATAATTTAAATTTGTCAACGCTGTGGGACCTTAATTAGGTCTTAACTACGCTAATACCTTACGCTGTTTAACTGGACTCCATTTGTTATTTGTCTATGCTGTATATGCGATATCTTTTTGTATATAAGCCTAACTACTTGACTGAAATTAAAGTAAACGAAGTTCAGTGTATGGTGTTGTGTTACGCGTTACTTAGTTACTAGAAATATCGAGCAAAAGCGTATATTTGTTTTGTTGGATTTTACTCAATCTACTCGAGAGTATCTGCTCTAGCCGTCCCCGATTTAGAAGCGATAGACTAGAGAGAAGGCAGTTAGTCAACATTACCCTCCGCCAATTCTTGAGCTACTCTTTACCAACGAAAAGTGAGATTGGAAGGGCGAGCATATCTGGTGAAGGGATTCGAACCGCGACATGCAGATTGCGAGTCGAGCGCCCTCATCACTAGGTCATGTCATACGTTACGCAAAGATGACATGTTACAAGAATATACTAAAAGCTCCTTCATATTTGGGATTAAGGCCTGTTAATTATGATTTACAACAATAAAGCGAATACGATTTGTCTCCTTAAATTGCGACATATCTGAAAATTGTTGCATGGAAATACATTTCTGCTTTTTTTTTTCAGGCGTGCAACATTAATAATTTAATAAATTCCACAGAATTTGTTACTTTTATAATCTGAAATATTGAAATAACATCATGAATAACATGGCGTGTGAAAAAAAGGCCATGTTTTAGTAGGTGAGGATGTTTCACTAGTATACTGTTCAAAGTATAATCACAATGAAATATGACCACCTATTCTTAATTTGCTGTTAGATCTTCTAACGTTTCGTCTGTAAAAGTAATGACGGAACTGTCAGTTCCTACTACTCTACTGTTGAAAAAAATCTCTGCTACAAAGCCCATGCATTTGTAACAATATGAAATAATAAAACTAAACAAAAATCCAAAACTAACGAGTACCCACACTTCTCCAAACGTCTTATTTTCAATAAAAATTACCACAAATGTTTTCTCTAAAGATGTTTTAATTGCAGCTGGAGATGAAACACCAAGCAAGAGAGGCCAATGTGCACATCTATTGCTAGGCTCTCCGGGAAAAAGATTACACTATTCTGCAAGAACATCTACGTCATTCTTTTTAGGGTAACCCACGCTATCGATCGATCTAGCCGAGTGAGAGGCTCGAGTCCGTGTTAGCCATGTACCTAGTCATAGGCTTTCACCAATACTGGAGAAGGATGTATGCATTCTTCGCTCCCTTTTAGAGAACTCGTGAACAGAGTACCTCACGTTTCTCTAGAATACATCAAAAACTCTCACCTGATCAGTATGTAGCTGGTTTTGATCCTGATTTCATGTGGAATGCTAACATCCAATACATAGATACGAAAGTGTCACGTTTAGTACACACTCTGTTGCGACGACTACAGGTTTGAGTCTTTTATTTACATTCTACATTTAGAAACCTTGAGTACCATTAAACCATGTAAGTTTAGCTACAATCAGTTAGAATTTGGTATTTGTTTGTTTTGTATAAGATTATTTATTTTTAAAAATAATAACTTAAACCTAGCCAGTGGCAGAATGCAAACTTGTATGTTATGGTTAATTAATATTTAAGTCACAAATAAAATTTATTGAAGGGTCGATGATAAAATAGATATACGAAAAGCATCAATGTTTATATCATGTAGTTTAATATTCCAAATCTATAAGTCTTACGACTGCTATTTGAGGTATAAATCTGGTCTCTTATTAATAGTACTAATATAACTTCTGGCGGATCTCTTTTATCATACAGCGTTCCGGCTTTCTGTTTAATTAGTTCACTATCTTGGGATATAATAAAATTACAGTGTTTTTTCGTAAGTAGAGAATGTAAAAAAAGAAAAGCTTTTTTTCCTGAAATCGATAGAAATTAAATTATTTGCCGGTAATTTGTAAGTTATTGAGCTGTAGGTGCAATATAACATACCTAGTCTAATACGCTGTTGTGACAGTTAAGAATACAATATAACATGCTTAGTCTACTACGCTGTTGTGACAGTAAAGAATACAATATAACTAGTCAACTACGCTGTTGTGACAGTTGAAAATACAATATAACATGCCTAGTCTACTACGCTGTTGTGACAGTTAAGAATACAATATAACATGCCTAGTCTACTACGTTGTTGTGACAGTTAAGAATACAATATAACATGCTTAGTCTACTACGCTGTTGTGACAGTAAAGAATACAATATAACATGACTAGTCAACTACGCTGTTGTGACAGTTAAGAATACAATATAACATGCCTAGTCTACTATGTTGTTGTGATAGTTGAAAATACAATCTATTAACCTATTGTGACAGTTAAGAAATGTATTGTCGTCTTTTCTGTATTAATTAGTTTCTGCTTTTCTCGTGCAACACATTACACTCGCGAGAGAATATTTCATACATTCTTTATATCAAGACATTCTCTTAAGTTTAGTTTTAACTTTACTCTAACGCTTCTATTAAGTTATTCTTTTACTTATGTTTTCACAGATTCACACAAGTTGTTTAAGAATTATGTTTGCATAAAAATACTACGTATTCACATGTAAAACGCGGAAACCTCCTGGGAACGACACTGCTTTAAGAAGGTGTGGAAGTTCTTCAGGCAATAAGCTTATCGTTGCTAAGGCCAACTAAACGTTTAAGATGTTTTAGTCGTCACACGATCACATTAAACAGATTGTGTTGCAGTGAGCAATATGCTAGTGTTGACTGACGTCATTTCTAAAGTTACTGGCTGCCTTTCATAGGACACTGCAATTCAACTGAAATATCGTATATGATCAACAGTTTGTGTAATATGGATAGACACATCACCCTGCCTTTGTTAACTTGTTATAGATAGATATTCAGGATGGACAGTGTTAGTGTGGTCGAGGTTTGGACAGTAAATGTTATTCAAGTTATATTATTAACTGATATGGTTTAAAAGCATTATTAATTAATAATGACTGAAACTTTACGTTACAACTACTGTTTTAATTTTCCCAACATAAATTTGTCTTTTAGAGTCTTTGTTACTTTTTTGACCAAATTTCGTGTGTTTTAGGATCCATTGAAAATGTAATCTTTAACCTACGTTTGTTTGAGAGAACACTAGTAAACACTGAACGAATGTTAATTTGGACTAAGCATAGTAAATACAAACTGTGTAATAACAGCAGAACAATAGTGTTACAATCTACAAAGTGAGATTCAGAACAAAATACTTGTTAACCCTAGCGTGGATAACAACTACTACACGTAGTTTTAAAACATATCTGTAAAATATTACGTTTTTTTCTTTAAAGAAGCGACTAAACGTCTGGTATTATTTTATTAGGTATATGACTGAGTAATTCCAGTTAAGAGCAACCATTTATAGCCACTAATAATAACACGTTTTTACAATCTTAACTCCAATGTAAAAGTTATGTATAAAAGTGCACAAAATCGTTTAGAGAAAGTAAGTTCTGTTGTTTTGAATTTGGCTTTTAAAAGAAAAGCTGTTACACACTAGTGAAGATACCAGTGATCATTTCAAGGAAACGTTTATGTGTACATCAGCGTGTTTATTAAGAGTGTAAATGTAGCTCTTTAAACAACTATTTCATAATACCAAAAATGTTCAGTATTTTTTAATAAAATGTTACGCGACTTTGTTTTATTTTTCTAGAAACGGTGCATTACAATTGCAAGTTTTAGATATATTGTGTGTGTAGGGGAGGAGTTGTGAGAGAGAGAGAGAGAGAGAGAGAACGTCATATATTAATGTTCCACTCATATTTAAAGGTGGAGACAGTATAATTAGAAGGCACATCTAATTTAAAACATAAAACTACTTTTTTTTTCGCATTTTAAATATGAAAGTAACAGTGTCTAAAGTATAAGTGTGATAAATGTCTGAAGCAAAGAAAGCATCTCTGCACGAGAAAAATTAGAAATATCAGAAAGTTTTCCTACATAGACTATAATACACTACAAGCATCTCATTTAGAATCTTCACTTATAATGAATGAAATGATGGAATTTTACTTTTCTGGTTTTCACTAGAATAAAGATATATTAATTTTTTGTTTTTATCAACGCACGATTTTTTGTCGCTATGCTGCAATTATGATCACGTTTTGTATAAGGTAAGTTGCTAATTTTAATTTACCTGTCTAATGTTTTACTTTATATTATCCAGACATATTTAACTGAGCCCTTGGCTTTTCGTCAATTCAAGTGTCGCAGTAATCTTTTGAACTGATTTGAATCAAATGAGTTAATGATGCTAATAAAATGGAAGAATGAGTCATGGAATAATAAAGTTATAAGCTAGATACAATAATTTAATACTCAAAAACAAATTAGAGATGGGAAACGTATTTCTTTTATTTATTTGATTTCGACTTTTCGGACAGTGCTTTTCTTCAAGTATTATCACTAACCTTATTGTTACATTGAAACTGCCTGAAGTAACGATGTAACATTTTTTTCGTAATTGCATCTAGTTTTCAGACTGTAATGAATCAACATGAAAGTGTAGGCTACTTCAACTGTTATTACTTTTTGCTTTTTTATTTTTAGATTCGATACTGTATTGTTTTCTTTTCTGACCTTTTAAGGTTGAAAGATTTTCTTATTGATATTATTATAAACGACTTTCTGGCCTGATGGTTAGAGCGCTCGCCTCGCAATCTGAGGGTCACGGATTCAAATCCCGACTTTCTGCGTGACGTGGCCTGGTGGTTAGGGCGCTCGACTCGCAATCTGAGGGTCACGGATTTGAATCCCGACTTTCTGCGTGACGTGGCCTGGTGGTTAGGGCGCTCGACTCGCAATCTGAGGGCCGCGGGCTCGAATCCCCGTCACTGAACATGCTTGCCTTTTCAGCCCTGGGGATGATGTAATGTGACGGTCAATCCACTTGTTCGTTGGTAAAAGAGCAACCCGACAACTGTGGGCGGTGGGTGATTTTCTCTAGTCTATCACTGTTAAATTAGGGACGGCTAGCGCAGAAAGCCCTCGTGTAGCTTTGCGCATAATTCAAACCAAAACCACTAAAATATGCCAAAACATGTATTTCTTCATGTGTTTTTCGTCTTCCGATGAGTCAAGGACAATTTTACGAATTTACAACGCTAAAATCCGAGGTTTGATTCCTCCGGTAGAAACGTCAGATAACCCAATGAAGTTTGCGTTAAAAACAAAAAAAAAACATGGGGTATTCTAACAATATGAAAAAAATAAATGTAATTATAATCTTGAAAATTTGGATATGACATATCATATGATACTTTTGTTTTGTTCGGTTTAATTTTGGTGCGAATATTTTGGTTATAATTGTAATTCTAGTGCATATGAGTTTATTGATCAATCTACATATTTCCGGTTGTGAAGAAGCTCCCGTCGTTATTGACGAGATTTATGAACTATAAATACAACAGTAATAACAGATCAAGCATACCTTCTAGCGTGATTGAATTAATAACAACTTAATTTAATGTTTGTCCATATCGCAATACACGGCAAGTTTCCAAAAAACGTTATCAAATTAAACCTGAAGTGTTCAATCATACTTATAGCCAATATCAGTGGACGCCCTTTCTATTGTTTCTTTAGCAATGAAGCATTCTATATTTGAATATTTAATTCCACACAACTACGTACTTGAAATATTGTTCTTTATCTCATTGGAATCTTGGGCAGTAAGAGTCTGTTGTTGTTGTTTTTCACATGGTAAAATGGTGTTCTACAGCGATTTTTGTCTACAGTCTGTTGCTGTTTCTAAATATAGCCAGAAGTAGTTTCTGCAACTCGGTTAAAAATATATTAGTTTGATATAGTTAGTTTATGTAGCGGTTTTCACAAAAGTAAGTGACTTCATCAACCCTAGAATTATCGATAGAAACCCCATCAGCTTTTTAAGCGTATTTTCCTAAACTATTTATGTACCAAATTGTTTGGGAATTCATGACATTTTATTACAGGGTTCCGAATAACATATGATAAACAACAAACACACACAAACACAAAACCAAAACGAAACACTAAACCAAAACATTATCAATATCAAAATTAACCCTACTAATTGATCAGTTTGTTACATTGAATATTTATCAGGTAAAATCATTGAATATGACGCAATATGTGGACCTACATGAACAATGAAAGAATTATATACAAATTTAGTTTTACATATTTCAAAATTAAGTAAAAAATGTGAAGGTACCAGTGTGGCTTTATAAAGCTGCAGCCGCAAAATGTAAATATTGACGACATTTGAATAGAAAAAAAAGTTATCTCAAAGAAAAACAAATCATTTTTTAACACTGATTCGTTGTCCAGCTTTGCTAATCTATAAACGATGACTATATATATATATGTTTATTTGTTTCTAATTTTTGATCAAATATATTTTA